CAGAGGGCGGAGAGATGAGACACTCGTGCACATTTTCTGCTTGAAAGCGCGGTGGCAAAAATCAATGATGGAAATTCAGACTGCGATGAATCACGCGCTGATAGGCTGCGGTAGCTAGCACACTACTTGCTTAGAGCGATCGCATGATTTCGGCGGAAATCTGGGAGACAGGCGCGTCCACGAGATCTAGCTTGGATAATTCACTAGATTTCATATCGTCCACAAAAATCAGCACGCTAAATGCGGCAGCTTCGACGTAGCTCGAGCCAAACGGGGTCTGAAACCCTCCTGCGTCGTCGAGGATTGCCTCGGCCTGGTAAATCAAATTCTCTCGCACAATGTTATTGGAGTAAATCGAGCTACTTCCAAGCACTTCCCTCACCATTTCATTCTTCCAATATCCAGTGCACTTCAAAATGATTTCACATCGAATTGCCTCTTTGGTCGTTGTAGAGGTGGCTTGATTGCTGACGCTCAAAATTTCGCCGAGAAGAGTGGCGAGAAGACCATAATAGTGAGCCACGAACCATATGTCCGACACGGAGATTGTGTGTCCGGCAGGCGAAAGTCGCCCCTCGCGCCAGCACTCTGGTTTGATGGCTGAGCACAGATGATACACACGATCCCAGGCGGCGAAGATTTTCTGGGAACCCGTCGTTGCATGAGCGAACAAAGGATCATACGGCCGCACGAAGTTCAAATAGTCCACAACCAGTGGACTTACAGTACCGCGCCGTCGTTAAAGAAGAGAAACTCTTTCTGCACCGCACTCGAGCGCGTTGCGGGCATTCTCTGCAGCGAAGGCCCCCGCGCCAACTATCAAAATGACACGACTCAAAAAATTTACGTCCTCTGGACCGTTAGCGACTCCGTAGTGCACTCTCCCAGTCCACGTGCCTTCGTTCGGAAAACAGAGTTTACGAGTGGCTCCCAAGCGTCGATTTATACCCGCAAGCACTCTGCTCGCCTCGAGAGTTGCATGGTTTCGGTCGTGCGAGTATCAGAGTGCCTGATGCAACATCCGGATAGAACGAACACCAGTCACAGTGACTTGTAGTTTCAATTTTTGCGCAATATATGTCCTCGCCAAGAAAGCAAGGTCACCCGTAATCTACGAAGTGGGAGTATGATCCAGATTAATTGCTCCAGCCCTCTCCGCAGGGCGATAAGCTGCTTCTGAGGTGTTCACCCTCGATGACGAGTTAGCTTGTGTGTACCAAACACCACCGATCGCATCACACTTTTCTAGAACTACCAACTAACATCCATCCGAAATGATTCTGCGGGCAAGAATAAGCCCCGACACGCCACACCCCATGATCGCAAATGCCGATTTTGCTGGGAGGCGGTTCCCGACTTGTTACAGAGTTCTATCGCTGCAAGTTACACGCGAAATCTGAGAATAAATCATGTCGTATAGTTCTTATATCGAGCTATTGCAGGCAGGCAAAGGCGGATGAGGACTTCATGTCTTATGAACACATGCGTAATGAAGTTGACTTGATTCAACCGCAAATGACGACGCGACTCAAACGACTAGACGAGCACCTAGATCGCCAACTCCGACAAGTATGTTGATAGTGTTCGCAAATAAATTAACTCAGTCTTTTACTTGTTCAAGACTCGACGAGAGCGACTCAACGACTATCCCAGAGATTTTGAAATGCGCCTTCAGCCTCGCCAGGCGATCAGTATGAGATTGGTCCGAGACGATCATTACTCACACGGCAAGATGGATCGATCTTGGGGTGCCTGCGGAATTATCGTCCATCGTCGCATCGTACATAACGTGGTAGAAAGACACGCGCGCCCACCGCGCCACGGTCTAGTTACTCGGCCAACAATACCTCGAGCGGGCTGACTCGGATAAATTTTGGGAAGGAAGACTGCTATGATGGAACCCTGGAGGGTGTGAACTTTAGAGATTACACGTGGCAGCCCACAGTAATGTTGTAAATCGGCTGTTGTAATGGAGTATTCGACGGGTGGAATCACGCTATTGTTATCGTGGGCCAGCCTGGCGAGGCGGAACGGAGCAAGCACCGGGCGATCGTAGCTGTTGCCAGTATCATCCTTCGTAGCCGATGCAAAGCAAGAGACTTTACGCCTTTGTCGTCTATGTGTTTGCGGCCGATTTGCCGTTTCCACAATTTCTCGAGTCTACACCAGAGTGCGCCAAAAACGTATCTGCACCGCGCCCGTGTTCGTCGTCTGAAGCGCTAGTATTGGCACATGGTCCTCATGGTGTCGTGGGATTTTCTGACTGGGCGCTGCGCTGGGAAAACACCTTTACGCCAGATTTTAAGGGCAGTAACGCAAAATCTTATTGGGCTAATCAGCATTTTGTTATCCAACACGCTGCAAGTCGAAGAGGCTGGACAATTCGAGAGGACTACTACCCGGGCCAGAAGAATTCACTAATGATTTTGGAACGAGCGCGCTCCGGATCGCCTGAACGTAGGGTGTTCGAGCATCTTGTGTGTGTTGAACTCAGATCCTCACATGCAAGTTTTTTCAATGCCAAACACATTGCAATGCATTTGCTGAGACAAGCAGGAGTGCCGGTGCCACGGAGTATAAGTGTATACAAGACATCTGATCTCAATCACGTCGAGAGTCGGCTCAATTTTCCTGTTGTCCTTAAAGTATCGACAGGGACCTTTGGGAACAAGATAGTATTGGGTGTAACTACATTGGCTCAACTTAAGGTAGAGTACATGAAGCTATGTCCTTCTTCATGCGAAGCTTTTCTCGTCGAGGAGATGGCTGTTGGTGAGCATTACCGCGTCTTAGCGATTGACGGCATTGTTGTTGACGTAGTTCATCGAAGGCCAAATTGGATTTCATGTGAACACACCGACTTCACATTCGGCGACTGCGTGTCTCGCAATAATCACCTCAGGTCACAGATTGGCCTCAGCAGTATACCTGTTGATTGGGAATTTCTCCGTCACTCAAAAAAATTGTATCCTGACACCCGGCTTGCTTGGCGCCACCTGAGAAAGATTCGTCTTAGTGACGATATGCGACGATTCCAAGGTAACTACCTCGAACATGTTCCTAGCTCCAGGTGGCATCCTTCACTCCATATTCTTGCCAGAAGGATTTTTAGCATTGGCGTTCCCACTCAGCGTATGATTGGCTTCGACGTCATCGCTTCTAATATCTCGTCTGACATTCGCAATTTTCCCCCGCCTATATTAGTCCATGACATCAATTCTAATCCAGACACTACAATTTCGTTCGTGGCTGCTAACCAGCCACACTGTCCCTTTTATGTAACAGAACGAATCCTCGATGCGATGTGCATGTGATTTCATCTGTAGCAAATGCAGATTTACACGCAGCTTCTCCCGCCGATGTACACTGTTCCTTTTATGTAACAGAACGAATCCTCGATGCGATGTGCATGTGATTTCATCTGTAGCAAATGCAGATTTACACGCAGCTTCTCCCGCCGATGTTAGAATCTTCGTCCAAAGTCAACAAAATGATGCCGCCGAGGGGAATAAAGTTGGACGAGTATTTCGAGGCTGCCTGGAAATCACCCCACGACGCGGCCAACTTAGCATGTATCTTTTTTTTTTTCCCACCTAATTTGCCAGGCTATGATAGTAAACATGAGGGTACGAGACGTAGTCAATACTGCGCGAGCTGAAATCCTGAACTTGGCCTTGAGTGTGTGGCAGAAAACTCTCGGTTCCGATGCGCTTTGCTTGACCTTTGTCAATACTTGGCCATCTCCTGACACAAATGACACGAAACCTGAAAGGTAGTGTGAGAGAGATCAGGCACGCAGCTCAGTGAAGTTCCCTCAGTGTTTTCAGGCTTTATTTCCGTTCCTTCGCTGCCAGACAGATGATCGGTCGCTTGATGGACCGTGTCGTTGAGGTCGCAGGTCAACTGCCCTACCCGGTATCCCGAGAATATCGCCCCCTCGTTCTCTAACCCCCGTACGGGGGTAAGGCGGGGGTTATGGGGCGGACATATGCAAGAAAGAAATGAATGGCTAAATTATCTTGCCCCCCCGGGGGATCAACTTTGTAACAGCGACTGTACTTCGTGATGCGACGGCCCTGGCGGCGACGCGGCTCGCGCTACCGAGTCAAGTTCGCAAAATCGGACGGCGATTTCCCCGGTATGCTGAGGGGCTTTACAATCCCTTGACAGTTCCGCAATCTTGGCAGCCGGAGGCCCGCGGAAGGCCCGGAGGTAGTCGAGGTGCTGGGAGTATGGCCTCTTGGCACATGGTATAGAAGGGGCCCTTGCCCAGAAACCCGCCTTCAGCAGCGTCTCTCTCTGTACGAAATAGCCAGATTTTTATAGACTTCATTTCACGGCGTTTTTGGAAAAAAACGGGGTGAAAGGTCTATAATGTTCTACTACTTGTGTCATGTTACATAGATAACCAGTTCATCACGTCATCTTCCGCAGCAAGTGCCGGACATCTGCCAACACGCAAGACCTCGTCCTGAATTTGACCCGACAACCGCACGATACTTGCCGTGGCCCCCTGCAATGCGAGATGGGCTTGTCGCACTTCGCCGCTGGACCGGAAGGGATGCATCGTGGCCGGTCCTGAGGCCGCTCGATACCTCTTGGTCCTTCGTGATTCATCAGTAATAGCCTCTTTGAGTAAAATAGAAGATGGACACTCACACAGGGCAGCAATGGAACCTTGATCCAAAGTTGGAATGGAAGCCCGATGAAGGACAAATCTGTTGAGAATCCTAACCAGACGTTTTCAGACGTTTTCATAAGTGCCATGTTCATCGCACGTCCTTTCTTAAATCCACCTATCACGCCGGAACTCGGCCATTAGGCAGAAGTTTTGAGCGCGAGGATATTTTGCTTGCATCCGTCAAAGTGGTAGTTGTAGAGCTCATAATCATCATCTTCCATATTCGACATCGCATCTTGGATCATCCCAATCACACCACCGCGCATCCCTCCGCATCCGTAGTCCAGGATGGCTAATCTCTTCCCAACAGGGACGCCGTCTTCGATGTAGGGAACATGGTTGGGCTCGCTGCAGATCAGTCCTACGATTCGCTTAATCAGAGCACCACCCTCGAGTCCCTCTAACATTTCCGCCGTGGACAAGTCAAGAATAGGAACGTTGTAAGCGAAGTGTGAACAGTCAAGCGCGTCTATGTGCTTGTGCACCAGCTTCACGAGGTCTTTGTTGTACACCTCATTGTGCATGGGGAAACTGACGGGTATCCGGGTGGTGTAGAGAAATTTCACCTTTTTTTTGAGTAGTATCTCCTCAATCATTGTCAGATCTTCTGGCATGCCAGAGAGAAGAAGTCCGTTTTGGCTCCACACCACGCCGACTCTTACGTTGCGGAAATCGCGTAATATTGGCTTAATGGTATTATTGAGAATTTTTGAACCACGTTTTCCGCTCACCGACATCATACATTTTACTCCAGCTAAGGAAATCCCAGAATTGACCTCTTTTAGGCCGTGCACGATGAAGTACAGCACATCAAGACCCCGGGGAATGTTTGTCAACATCTCCTCACGAGACGCGCTCATCGAGACCACAATCGCGGCAATATGCCCGAGGCTCACACCGACACAAAAAGTAAAATTCCAGGCGCCGTGGAGATATACGGATAAAACTTGCACGAGGACGCCGATTGTTTCATTCAGCATCGGTTGCGTCATGACCTCCTCATCAATGGTGTTGCCACCCTGCAGGAGACCTTGGATCCCAATTGAAGGTGGGACTCCGGTAATAGCGACAACTTTCTCCGCCCACCACTCACTAGCACTTTCCACCACCGAACTAAAGTCAAACTCAGCGTTATCATTTACAAGTTTTTTCAAATGAGGAATATTATTTTCAGCTATCGGCCGGAAGAAAGCGACTTGGGCGACACCTTCCGCGAGAGATGCCATGCTGAATTACGGAACCAAATAATACGAGATAAGGTGTGTGGCTGGTGCAGGTAATACAGTTTTAATATGTAATCCGTGATCGTGATTCCGGAGCGAGGGCACTGTAGCTCGGAAGGAAACGAGGAATTCCCGCGAAAGGTGATATTAAGGAATTATACAAGATATAGAATGATATAGTTGGATTAGGAGCTGGGTGTTGCCTTCAACATGGGCTCCACCCAGCTCGGGGACTAGCCTAATCTAGGACCCCCAGGCAAAGAATAGGGCCGGCTGGATAGGAGAAGATTTTCCTGGGGTGCGCTCAGGCGCACAATAATAGAAGAGGGAGTGACCTCGAGCTCCGGGGTACGGGGTGGTAAACTTTGATTAAGTCCTACTCGGGCGTACTCAGGGGGACCTCGGGTGACTTCCCCTAGGTCCCGGGCGAGTTCCTGGCACCAAATTTCTGGGCCGGTCGGTCGGTCGGTCGGTCGGTCGGTCGGTCGTCGCCGTCGCCGCCGCCGCCGCCGCCGCCGCCGCCGCCGTCGTCGTCGTCGTCGCGCGCGCGGGGGAGTTTCGAACCTAATTCAGTCGCAGGGCGACCGTAGAGAGGTGATGAGCTGCCCCATGCTATCACGGTATATGAACCCGGGGATGCAAAAATCGAGTGGGGGCGCGCCCCGCAGTCGCAGTGATCGACAGTCTCGCCGCAGAAGGCCGCCAGCAGGAATTTTTGCGCTCCCGAACCCCGTCGTCGCTGTCCGGCGCAGCACGCGCGCTTTTCGTGCACCACCTAGCGCAAAAACGGCGCGGCGCTGGCGCATCACACCATCTCAGCGTTATCTTCGATTAGCCAAGAAAGTAGCGCTCAAAGGAGAGAGAGAGAATGAGCTGTTAGTTATTATTATTATTATTATTATTATTATTTATTTAGCGTCGGAGAAGCCGCATGCCCAAGAGCACACACGGCAGATAGGTCTCGGACGGAAGAAGTTGAAGTAGGTGGGGCAGCTGCCCCCCAGCAGGGGCCGAAGGCCCACGGGGGGAGCCTCCTGAGGATCAGCTTCCCCGGCGCCACAAATGGCGAAGCCCCGAAGGGCGAGAGAGGAAGGGGGCCCCGAGGGGCGCCGGGCAAGGGAGGAGGGAGGGGAAGATGGCCGGGGCCGGGCCACCCACCAGGAGCGCCCGACAGCCCCGGGCCGCCGCTAAGGGCCGCCAGCTCGGTTAGAGTGAGTCTTCCGTAGTAAAATGCAACATTTTTCGCCCCAGTTTTTGAGGTGAATCATCGGCTTATTTACCGTCCGTTGTGGCATACTCGGAAGGGTACTGCAAAAGAATCTGATGCGCTTTGCGCACACGCCAATTAAACCAAGGGATCCATCGATCTATCGAGATCTTTCGTCCTGCCAGCGTCTTGTCTGCTAGGCCCTGTAATAATATAATGGCCTTGTTTCTAAGTCGCTTGATGGCATTTTCAGCTAGGTTTGGCTGATGAACGTAAGGAGATAGAAGCTCAAATTTGATCTGTAACTGATCCTTCACTCTCCGAAGTTGAGATCCTTCCTTGAAACTGGAAAAATGGTCAGACACAACAAGCCTAACTCTACAGTCAAACTCAATACGGACTTGGCTAACTAGATCATCAATCTAGTATTTCCTTCCGTCTACCTACACAAATGTCTTTCATTGATACTAAGAATTCTTTCTTGAAATTCACTGTAAAAAATGATGGTGAGCATAGTTACTCTCCCAAAAGCGGGAGCTGGCGCCCTCTTCAACTCGATAGCTGTAACCAGCGGAGGAGCTCTTATAGATCAGCGTTTATCATACAATGTGTGGAGAACCGTCCAGCATGTTCAGAAGGCTGGCGTAGCTTCTTCTTCTGTTATGAACACACTTCTTGGCTGTTCTTCTGACAAAGTCAAAGGTGTCACAATTTCAAAAGGTGAATCGAAGACTTTCTGTGACCCAATCAAGAACCACGCATCGATTTTTGTTGCTCAAACCCACTACCTCCCTATGTTCGGCGGTGAACTCGAAATGGTTTCAAATTATGTCCTGCCGACCTCATGGGCTTCTGGGCGTCGTCCGCAACATCGGTCCTCGACTCACATCTTCTCTTTGAAAGTGTGGAACTTGTTCTTTCGTGTGTACAATTGAGCCAAAATTCTGTAGAAGAATTAGTGAATAAAATTCACGGGGGCGTTCTAACATTCGAAGGTCAAGGGTACGGTGTTTCGACAAACACCCTTGCTCAGGTTTCGGGGCAGGTAACCCTCCCCGTGTCGCAGGCTTACACAAATGCGCAAAAAGTAGATTTTGTTATGACCCCTAAGACAACACAAAACGGCACAAGTCTCAGTCGTCCTCATAATGATGTAAAATCTGTCTTTGTCAAGAATTACCTCACATCCTATGGTCTTCTCAGTAATGGTCAACTCGTAGAAGCTACGAGAAGTTGTCGCGCGAGTGACGCTGAGGCTTTAGCGATGTCTCTCATTGAGCTAAATATGCTTGATGACATCGAACAAGCTGGACTAGTTTACAAAGACCAAGCTGAACTTTCCGTTGATCACTTGGAAAATACAGGCACAGGAGCAGGTGCGGGGGCTGTAGGTTCTTTCGTTGGTTCTCTCAGCCTTTGTTCTTTCAAGAACGGAAATGAAAAAAAACTGTGCTCGGGGCGTAATTTTGTCAACGCTACCAACAGTCTCCAGCTCGATTTTACTCCTGCGTCAGGCAACGATCAAACAGTCACCATTGACATTATCACATATTATCGTTCTGTAGTCACTGTTCACCTCAAGGCCGGGGATCCTCAGA